AGAGGAAGTGAAGATTAGAATTCATTTTCTAGAGATGGATGCTCTTGGATACATTTCCTTTAACAACATTTGTTACGACCTTGCTCATGTTGTGAACGAAGTGGTCATAAAACAACCATCAATGTTACGAGCGGGTACATTGAGGGACTATCTGCCCATGGGTTTGCAATGGATGTTTTCCTTGATTAACAACAAGTTAAATGGAATATTGGTAGATGAGGTGGATCTTGGCAAAACGGTACAGGTTAAGTCACTACTTGCATACTTGAAGGAATTTGAAGGAAACTATGGTTCTTTGCGTTGTAGTGCTGCATAAGGTCAGCAAGTGAAGAAGACTAGGTTAGAGAATGGGCTAGTGGAGTTGGGCCTCTTTGCTGATTTAAAAGGTAAGGCCTATTTTGCACTTGAATTATTCCAACCCTCCCATCTTATACACAATGGGTTTGTTATAACATTGGGCTTAATTTAGTTTGGCTATTATCCAACGAAAGTGACCAAATGTTTAAGGGTGCAATGGGCTTCCGATTTTGAATGGGCTTTGCATCCTTGTGTACCCATTAAAATTCACTTTGGCATGAAAAGTGCTACAACAGTTATAAATTCCAAACAGCAGAAGTGGGTATACTGCCATACAAGTATTCTCAACTTTCTTCCTATTCAGCGAGGATTTACACAAAACATTGAAGTGTCAGAAGTTTGTGGTTCAAATGCATTGACTCAACATTTGGAAGATTTAGAGATACAATGGGACCCGGGTGGAAGTTATTGTGCATCATCATGTGAAAGTTCTTATACATCATCATACGTAAGGAGGTCCTTACAATTCAAGCAATAGGACCCTGGAAAATGATTTTTGCAGTATGACCTTCACCTTGAGGACAAGGTGAATGTTTTGGGAGAAAGTATTGTTACGTTCCCACCTTTCAAGCAAGAGAAATAAGTGGGCTGGAGAATCATGCTGAGTCAGCAAGTTTGTTAACAAAAAATATTCTAGAGAAAGCTAAACATAAAATAGTTAGGGACTTGGACATTGGCTGTAAATTCACAGTATAAATATGAGTATGAAGGACTCCTACGGGAGGCAGCAGTATAAAGTATTGGTATCTGGAATATTTGGGAAATATTGGGATCCTTTTAGATATTGGGAGAGATCAACACCTCTCGAATATGTTGAGCTTAATTTTCCTCTTTTATAGTAACTGTAGTCATAGTAGAATTTGCCTTGTAATGGAGTTCATTATCTGTTGTTCTTCTTCTTTCATTTTTTATTGTAATTTCCTTTACATATAATACATAAAATCCAGAAAGTGTTCTTTCTGGGCCAACATCGTCGTTCTTCTTTTTTGTTATTGTTTTTCTCTTATCTGGTTCTTATCAGATTCATTGGAAGAGCTTGAATCTTCATGTGTCATTTCAAGCACATCCCACATTTGTTTTGCTATTTTACAATAAGTTACAAGAAAATATTCATCTATTTCTAAAGCATTAGTAATCAAATTCCTATCTTTAGCATTCCAATTAGCTTTTCAATTATACCCTTATTCTAAATTTTTATTTATAAATTTTATCATTTACCCTGATAATAAATCATTTCATCTCCTTTCTTTCAAAACCCTAAGAATAACTTTATATAATTATCAAGCAGATTTTGGCTTTATTTGTTTTTAACTTTAGCTTAAAAGTTGTTTTTAGCTTAAAAAAAAGATATGTCTAACAAACTCTAAATCCAATTTGGAAAAAATAGTCCCCCCTATAAAGTTCATATAATAATTCATTAGCAATAGGAATATGGAACTTATCTTGAACTATCATGACGTTAAGCACCCGATAGTACACACAAAGACATAAAGTGTTATCCTTTTTATGAACTAAAAACACACAAAAGTTGAAAGCAGAATGACTTGGGCAAATCATCCCTGAAACAAGTATATAAAAAAACAATTTTTCAATTTTCTATTTTTAAAAGTGTGGGTATCAGTAAGGACGCACTTAACAAGGAGTGTATTCAGTAGTAATGACATGTGGTGATTATAAAATCAATCAGGGGATGGGCTAGAAGGTGTGGAGAAGATTGAGGCAAAGGTACACAAGAGTTTGTGTGTCCACTGTATTGAGTGTAATAATGGAATGGATGCTGGATCATTGGGGGTTGTTGGAGTGAATGTAAATCACATAAGACAATTCGATATCAAGCCAGTAAACACAAGCTTGTTAAGCTAGAAAGGTGAGATATGATTAGGATGTAATGATGTGTCACCCCATAATATAACCGCAGAGTACACGCTTGCAAAAAGCATGGTAAGATTGACATAATTAGTCATGGTAGGACTCAATATTGATAACCAATGGATGCCAAGGACAATATTAGTCCCTTGAAGGTCCAAGACATGAAAACAAATAATCTTGTAAGAAGAGTTGAATTGGTTGACATATTTCTCCACAAGGAAAGGCCTCATGATTACCCACTTGGACTTGATAAAGGGGAATGATTGTCATCGTAAGTTTCAAGTGTGTGGCTATTCTTGGGGGTTATAAAATTATGGGTGCTACCAATATTTATTTAAACTAGTATAATCTTTCCTCCAATTAGACTAGAAATCCTGAATAATTTTGATGAGTGGTGGCCAAACAAAGCATGATAGCTACTTTATAAGGGAATTGGTGAAAATTGGGGTCAAGGATTTTGATGTGGTAACGAGATCTAGGTCCTCATCCAAGCCTTCCAAAAACAATAAGATGGATTTCTTGTTACATTTATGGCCTTAGTAAAACTTTCACCATAGTTATAACACATGCTTTTTCTGCATTGGTTGTATTATGTCGAGGTTAGTCTTTTAACTGATAAACTCATAATTATAAAGGGAAGGGTTTGTAGGTAGCTGGCAGTGCTGACATGTTGGTTATAGGGGAAATGACATAAATTGATTTTGGGTTATAAGGACGTGATTAATGAGAGTAAGCAAATGCTTTGTATAAATTTGTCGAGTTGTGTGTAAGGACCAAATGCTGAATATGGGATTTGAGCCTTGCAATAAACATAATGCATTATAAAGGTGTTGGAATACATGTGACTCTGCTAGCATGATCCTCAAAAGAGATTTTGTAGTCAAGAAATTCCATTGCCCAAATAAACACTAAAAGGAGATTGTAAAGGATACCCAATCCTGGGGTAAATTGGCTTTATGAAGATACTTTAACAAGCGGTCAAAAGTACCTCTCCATTACAAAGAGCTAATCCCTAGGATCTCTTTAGGAGAAGAACATAAATTTCAGGCGAAGGTCGTAGCCACGAAGAGCTTCAGAGTCTAAAATAAATGGCTGAGATGATGAGCCAAATGAAGGACCCCAATCTAGTACTCTTGCTTGGTGGTTGGAGCCTTGGGATAGGTCCGCTCCCTAGAGATAACATTCATGCGAGTTACCTTCTGTTTGAGATTCGTGAGCAGAAGATCTGTAATTTGTTGAATGTTTTTCTAAACTAGGTTTGGGATTTGATTTTAGAGATCCTGGAATTGGAGTAGCAAGTTGCAAAATTGGGTGTTCTCAACCATGAATACAATGACCAGGGAGGAAGGGTAAGCAATGAAAGCACCAAACGTACTGCTTAGGAGAAGAATTTAGAAAAGATATAAAAGAATCCAATAGAGAGTGAAAATGAGGAAATTAGACAGAGAAGTGAAACCTTAAATTTTCCATGCCTTTTCATTACTCAACAATAACTATATGAATGGTATTTTTTTTTTTTTTTTTTTGAGATATTTCAATCGGTTCATCGCTTGATGACTAGTCTAATTCGGCGCAGGTCCTGGGATCAAGTCTTTAAACCCTTCCCAAAGACGGTACCGGGGAGGATCGAACACATGCTCTCACTCCCACCTGCTCAGTTCCCTAGCGCCAACTGAGCAACCATCATTTTGTTATATGAATTGTTTTCTTAACCATAGTTTGAGTTAACAATTACATGTAATCCAAAATGCAATCAAAAGCATCAGAGATCCATTGCAACAGTAGAGAATAGAGATTCGCCTTGCTAGATTTAAGCTAATAACCCATTTAGTGTAGTATTCAACTAATTGTTTTGCATTGATCCTATTTCTTCCAGGTTTTTCTTCCTTTAGACCAGTGTCTTGAATGTAGGCTGTAAAATCAATATATTTTTTTCAACCTATAATATTATATTGAGGAAATTCCTCAACTTTTCTCCTAATTGTGAAATGATTAGCAATTAAAAGCATGTTTGATTTGCTAAAAATAAGAAAGATCACAACCCATTAAAAAATTATACTTTATTTGTTTGTTCAAATAATATAAGTATCATATAAAAGTAATTAAACGAACAATACAAATCTCAAATTTTTTTTTGGTATCCAATCTGGTTTAAACTAGTTCGAGTATTGTCGGACCTATATTGAGAGCGACTCTCCCAACTCTATTTTCTCAATTCCTAAGACTCGAATTCAAGACTTTGGTTAAGGAGAACGAGTTCCTTACCACTTGAACTAATTACTATTGGCCATTGATCAAATATCTAAATTTTTATTACCCACTAAATTATATTATAAAATCTAGTCTATAATACAAACATAATAAAGAAAAAAGGAAAAAACTAATAACCCATACCTTTCTTACTCCATTTTATTTTGCACAAAACATAAATATTATGAACATCCTAAAAAATATCAAACAACTAAGATTTTTTTTTTTCGGGTACCTCAACCAATATCTCTAAATATTTACCAAACATAACCTAAAATTACGATTAAATCTTCCTTTTGTAGCTATCTTTGTACCTATCCCATAATCCATCACCAGAGCTTCCCTGTGCGGTCGTACACTTAGGCCCTTAAGATTGACCCAAGTACTATCAAAAGCCCACAACAGGAAACAAAATGGCCCACGAATCAAATGACCAGCAAATTTTTACCCTAAAAATCAAGAAGACTAGTAAGCAAAGAGCCAAAAACACGCAATTATCTATAAGCTTCGCCGACGACCGCGCAGATTCCTCTAGAATTTCATTTTCCTATTCCAATATTATTATTTCATTCACATAACTTAACATAACTTAATGCTATGCTTACCAGTTACCACTAGTAGTACTCTCATCCTGACTTCAATCAAGCATGCTTATATTTATTCCTTTCTTTATATTATTATTTTTATCATTATTATTATCTTATTTTATCACCGATGATTCAATGAGTTACTGAGTCGGTTCCTTTCTTTTTATTTATTTCTTTTCTTTTCCCCATTTTTGATTAATTTTTTTCTTTTCCTTTTTCATAAAAAAGCAAAAGCACACTAGCTAGCAACTTCTTTTGGGTCTTCTCTTCAGACTCGAGTTGTTATTTTTCAGATACAGCAATCATCTATTGGTTGAAGCATGTTTAGTTTTTTTTCTTTTTTTTTAGTTATATCATGAATCATGATCATTTTCCCTTGTCAAACTAACAACTAATCGAAAGTGAAAGTCTACTTCTTTTCACATTTCAATTGTTGTTGTCTTGTTTTTTCATCTTCATTCATTCTTTCCGATCACATCATTCAAAGAGAGACCATAACAATTAACAAACACTTAAGTTTCTGCAACAATCATATTTTTTTGTTTTGTTTAATATCCCTTTAGCATTCAATTGACCTTCTTTGAAATCTCACCATTATGTTCCAAAGAAACCCTTCATACGCAAACCCAGAACCCTGCCAGCATCTTGCTGAGTACAAGCTCAAACATGGTTTCAATGGCTACAAAGCCATTCAAAAGCTCCTCGTGACCTCTCCAATTGGGAAGACCAGTGTCAAAAAACCCAATACAAGGATACCCAGATGCAGTTACTGTAATAGGTCTGAGGGCAGGCTCTATTTATGTCTGATTTGTTCTTCATTCTCTTGTTTGGATCATACCCTTTTGCATCCACAATCCGAGACTGGTCATGCTGTGTTTGTGGACATTGAAAGGGCTGAACTTTATTGCGGGCTATGCCGTGATCAATTGTATGACCCTGATTTTGATCAAGCTGTGATGTCTAAGCACTCAATGGGTGCCACTGGAAATGAGAGCATTGGCCAGAGATTGATCAAAAGGAGGAGATTGGTTTCTGGGGTTGGATTGGATTTGCAGAAATCTAAGTTCAGAGTTCCCACCAACGATCTGAGGGCTAAATCGTGTTATCCTATAGGATTGAGGGGGTTGAACAATCTGGGTAGTACTTGCTTCATGAATTCTGTGCTGCAAGCATTGCTACATGCACCTCCATTCAGGGACTATTTCTTGAGTGGTGGACACAGTTTGGAAGCTTGTCAGAAAAGAACCATGGATCAGCTGTGTTTGCTTTGTGATATCAATGCTGTTTTTTCAGCTGTGTTTTCAGGTGATCGTAATCCATATAGCCCTGCTCAGTTTCTCTACAGGTCTGCCATCGTTCTTTATGTCACACTCTTTCTTTTTTAGCTTTTGTCTGTTGAAAATAGTGGCTGACATTTATCAGGGGGTTCTAATCTGCCTCAGCTTTATATGCCTTTATGGTGCTTTTAATTGCTCCTGATTGAAAAATTTGCTTCATTTGTGAATTACTTAATTTTGAGTGTTCTGATATTCAACCAGCTGGAGATGAATTTGTTTGAATAAGTATAGAATAGAGGAAATTCATTGGTTCCATGATCTAGTCAATTATCATGAAAATACTCCATTTGGTCTGACTGAAGTGACAAAAGTAGCATGTTCTCCATGGAAGCTTTCTGTGACAAAAACATGTTTTTGAGTACATATGCTGTCAGCTCTAACTTGATGCTTTTCGTAATAAGTTTGAAGTTGACGATCTGTTTGTATGAATCTAGTTGCAAGTTAGCTGGGGCAACTTCAATTGAATCCCAAATCTTTTATGACTTTGGATTTGGACTCATTATGTTGGCTTGGTGCTCAAATTCTTGTTTCTTTTAAATGGTGAAACTTTTTGTTTCTGTTTCAAGCTGGTGGCAGCATTCAGCAAATTTAGCGAGTTATGAGCAGCAGGATGCTCACGAGTTTTTCATTTCGTTGTTAGATGCAATCCATGAGAAAGAGGGCAAAACAAAGAATGGAAGCAGAGGTAATTAGATACTGACATTTGGTGTTTTCTTGCAATTTTGTTATCGCATATGCACAATGTGACTTTCTGTGTTATAACTGTAGTTATTTTACATAATGATGTACTTTTTATCCAAAATAATAATAATTAAAAAAAACCTAATGATGTAATTGGCTGGAAGGTTTAGTCTGTGAACACATTAACAACTTTAACATCAAATATTGATTCTAAAATTTTTGCTGTCTGGGAAACGTTGGAAATATATCTCTAGGTTTGTTTATGAAAAATAAAGAAATAACAAGAGAATGTAGTCTTGTCACACTACTCAGGTGTTACATGTTGCATGATTATTGTTTAATACAGGTTATGGAGACTGCCAATGCATTGCTCATAGGGTGTTCTATGGGTTATTGAGATCAGATGTTACCTGTATGGCCTGTGGATTCACCTCAACAACCTATGACCCTTGTGTGGACATTTCACTTAACTTAGACACCAATGTCCCTATAGCAGAAAAGGGTAAAAAGCTTACCAAACGGAATGAGGATGGAAGTATGTCTACACTTTTGGGCTGTTTGGATTTGTTCACTAAGCCAGAGAAGTTGGGCTCAGACCAGAAACTTTACTGCCAAAATTGTCAGGAAATGCAGGACTCATTGAAGCAAATGTCTATCAGAAAGCTTCCGTTGGTACTTAGTTTGCATGTAAAACGATTTGAGCACTCTTTTGTTAAAAAGTTGTCAAGAAAAATAGATCGCTACCTACACTTTCCGTTTTCCTTGGACATGACTCCATATTTGTCCTCCTCAATCCTCAGAGCCAGATATGGAAATAGAATTTTTGCTTTTGGGGGTGATGAATCAGATATGTTTACTGAGTTTGAGATTTTTGCAGTGGTGACACATTCGGGGACGATTGAGTCTGGCCATTATGTTTGTTTTGTGCGTTTAAGGAAGCAATGGTACAGATGTGATGATGCTTGGATAACTGAGGTTGATGAAGCGACAGTCAGAGCTTCACAGTGTTACATGATTTTCTATGTGCAAAAAACCCTTTTCAATAAAGCAAATGAAGATCTGAGTCACCTGCCAAATTCCTCTGGAAGAGGGCTGTTTGTTCCTATTGCTGGGTGTTGCTAAAGAGGATATTAAAGGGAATATTTGACATCAAATGGTGGATTATAATGTGTGTTTTCTATACCATTGAAGGCCATCTCAATGCTCAGTGAGAGAACTTTTTTCTTTCTGATTTCCCCTTGAGTTTGGAGAATCACAGTTTACAGTTGACAAGATGGATTTGCAATATGCATCTTCAAATTCAGACTGCTAGAAGGTGTACAAGCGAATGGGAAGCCAGGTTGCTTGCTTGACTTCAATTGAATATTTGCATGTGGATATGTCATGGGCAGTTTTGAAACAAAGATCAAGGAGACAGAAACAGCACAACTTTTCACTGTATGCTTACTCAAATTCTTTAATTGCAGAGTATAACTCATTTCAACTGATGATAATGAAAGTTGTTCAACAACCATTGTTACACTTCTCTCTCCACTAAAAGTGGATAAAAAGAAAACAAATTAAGGGAAAAGAAGAGGTTATGTGGATGATTGTTTCTAATTTGTGCTTAACAAGGACAGTGTTGAAGACATGTTTCTAATTTCTGGAAGAGGTTATGCAGATTACTGAAAGAGGTTGCGTCTTTGGTGCACAATAGACAAGGGTATTGTTGAAGACATGTTTGTTCATTTAAAGGTGATGTGAAGAATATTATCGCTCTAACTTAAAGATAATATGGTTGTTGGTTGTGTGAAAAATGAAGTTGCAGTTGCTACAACTATATGATTAATAACTTACATAGAAGTTAAGAAAGTAGATCATTGATAATAGGATGACAAACATAATAACACTATATCAGATATATGGTTCACATATTTAGACTTAGACATTCAAAGGTGCATGATATACGGGGAATCAAATGGGTGAAAATTGATTTTACGAAAGATATCTGACTCTAGCATTTCCCCTTCCACCTTTAGCTAATAATATGTAACCATTGTTTATAATTATGGATTTGATGGTGCTTTATTATGTGATGGGGTTTCTACAGCTAATATTTTCCATTTCCCATAGGGCCTCCCTAAGACTTGAAAAAAGAAAAAGGTTCAGAGCACGCTTATGGTTGAAGAAATGGAGAGATATCCAATAATAATAATAAAAAAAGGTATTGGTAGACAGATATGAGCTATGGATTGATAGTTGAGAGTATAGGGTTCAGGAATGATAAAGTTTAAGCTTTTGTTCTGTGTATGATGCGATTTAGTGGCCCTCCACCTTTGGGACTTTTATTCTGTTTCCGTGACCATTATTACGTCCACTTTTTAATTTGGCGAGACATTAATAAGCACATATTTCTGAAATATTTCTCCAAACATTTGATATTAAAAATAAATCCAAAATGACGTCGTTTTGAGGCGGAAATCAGAGTATTTTTGTAATTATAATTTATTTTAGGATTATAATAATTTTTTTCATTATAATTTTTTAACTCAAAAAAACGTTGTTTTGGAAGCGAATGTAGATAACTTATTTATATTTACTATATAAACATTAAAGCCTAAAAATAATTATGCAACTGCACAAAATTAAGGGTACCGAATAAATTGAAAATATTTGTTCCTTGCTAAATTATGGACAATTTTTTTCTCTGAAAAACATACAAAATCAACATTACTCTCTTCACCCAACACCTTTTTTCTTTTTTTTGGGTGAGCACCTAACACCTTTTTTAATTGCTGTGTCATCCCATTTTAATCAGATATATATAATTAGACTATTGTGATAAAATCATTTTTAATGGAAATACTTAATGAAGAAATACATAAATTTATGTTATCAGTATAAAAATGTTTAATTTAATTATGACTTGTAATATTATTGAAATAATTCAAATATAAAAATAGTTGTTTAGAAATTGCATTTGTTAAATAATATAACAAATAAAAACACCTGACTGAAAAAATGTTATATTTTTAAATTTTAGTTATCTCACAGAATAGATAAATTATCAACCTCTATCATAATATATTATATCACCTTTCAAAATATATTTTTTATTTATAATCATATGATAAATTTATAAATTAATTAACAAATATTATCATTATTAATAAATTATAAATAAAATTCAAGTGTGAAAAATAATATTAAAATATGTAAAACAAACAATTTACAACATATAGGATATATATTATAGTAAAATTTATATTAATTTGTCAAGTACTTATGTGTATCAAATAATATGCAATAAAAAAAATTGCTTGCACTGTCCTTCATCTAACAAACACTAGACAATATAAAAAGTTATATTGTGCCTCTGTTATTTTGATCTCTTGTGTTTTTATCATTGCGCATCAAACGCAAGCTAAAATCTTTAGATGGGTTTAGCACATCAACAAATCAGGGGGGCGCACACACACACACATTATATTTTTTATCCGTAATTTTTTTTTTTTAATAAAAAATGTTCACTTGAATTTGGTATAAAATGTTGATAGATCGAGAAGCTGAGATCTTAAAGTTGATACTTGAGTTTTGGTTCTGCTAAAGTCTGTATATAATTAAATATAATTAATCTTATTTAAATTGATTTTAGTAAAGAAATAAAAACATTCTTAGGTACTGTTTTTTTTTATAAAGAATATTAAAAAAATGAATAATACAAAAAAGTAATTCATTTTAAGAAAGATATGTGTACTAAATGAAATTTATATATATACGAAAGGTGTTATCTAAAGAATAGAATAAAACACAATCAATGTACAAAAAAGAACTCTCATGATCGATATCCTATTTCTACTTACTAATGCTTGTCCAATGGTAGGAGCCACGTTTTAACCGGCAACAGTCATAGCATGGCCCAAAAATAAGTCTGATTAATTAAATCTTGAAAAGGCAATAAAAAAAGAGATGATTCTGGAAAAAACATTGATTAAAAAAAGACTGTGCAAGTTAGTTGAACCACTTTGACCTAATTGGGATACATCCAAATTGTGGACTTGGGAAAATAGAAGAACTCCTCCTAACTTCTTATGCTTCATTTATTTTTAATAATGCTATCCACCATATTATGCATTACTTTTATTTGCATAGTTTTGTTATTTAATTATGTTTAACCCAATTTTATTTTTATTTTTATTTTCATATTTATATTCTAATTCTGTTGCATCAACAGATGTGAGAAATGTACCATGACTTGTGTTATGTAAAAAGTATTATTCTTTATTTTTTGATTAAAAAAATTCTTTCCTTTTTGTGTATTTTTAAATTCTAATACAAAATTAAAGTTTTGTCTTTTTTTCTTCAATTTTAATATTAGTTCATTTTTAGAAAACATGGGTTTAATGTCTATGACTTTTTTCTTACAATTTCTTTTGCAATATCTTCTTAAGAAGGACAAAATTTTTTTTTGCTTAATTTGGAGATCAATTTATAAAATATTTTCTTAAGAGAACCGCATGAAGAGAGAAGCGTTTAATGATCCCCTCGAAGATAACAAGGAGCAGCCCTTGTATAAAGAGACAAGTAATTAGTACAAAAAAAAAAGAGACAAGTAATTGCCTTAACAAGGAAGTCATTCTAATTTGTAGAAGCTTGGTATTGATGAATAATAATTAGTGCATAATGCACAATTATTTTTATTATTTATTTATTTATTTTTATATAAACCAGGAACCGATTCTATTCATGACGCGAACATTCACATTATAGTAGGGCTAGTTCTTCCAAAATGAATTTTTTGTATGTACAAGAACTTAAACCCAAAACCTTATTTAAACGAAATCAGCATCTATTTTTTATAATTTATTTTGGACCTTGAGGTAAATTTACAAACCAAAAAATAATGGTTGGATCTTCTTGAGAAAAATATTTCTCAAGTCACTTGAGATATATTTATATCTGGCCAACCCAAAACTACGTCGTTTTGTTTATTTATTTCTTTATATTAATTGATTCACATTTAAATGGTTATGATTCTTTTCTTTTTCTCTTCCTTTATCACTATTGATCCATCTTTGTACGGTTATGATTTAGTAGCCGGAGATAAAATTATCTCAAACAACTTGAGAAATGATAAGCATTATATATATATGGCTTTAATGTTTCTAAAGTGAATGTAGATAAGTTATCTACATTCGCTCCCAAAACGACGTCGTTTTGGGTTGAAAAATTAAAAAATTATAATGAAAAAGACTATTATAACCCTGAAATAAATTATAATTACAAAATTACCTTGATTTCTGCCTCAAAACGACGTCGTTTTTGTAATCATAATTTATTTCATGGTTATAATAGTCTTTTTCATTATAATTTTTTAATTTTTCGACCCAAAACGACGTCGTTTTGGGAGCGAATGTAGATAACTTATCTACATTCACTTTAGAAACGTTAAAGCCATATATATATATGAGATATGTTATTCTGCCTACTCTTATTTTTCCTTCCTTTGCCTACATTCTTAACACCGTTAGATTACAATCTCATCTAATGGTGGAGATTTGCGGAATAAAATAAACCATTTTCCTCTTTTTTTCTCCTTACTACCTCTCACACTCTTTCTCTCTCCTCCCCTTTCTCTCTATCGATTTGCATTATTTACAATTTGAATTTATATTTGAGTCTAAATCCAATCAATGATTAATCAAAATTTCTTGAATCTGATATAATTGAACATGGCAGAAATCACAAAAATACAAAAAAATGAAAACCACGAAGAATCCCTTCTCTTGAATTAATCCACGATTACCGTAATGTTTATATTTTGATGTTGAAATTTGAAATCGAATCAACTTATCTCCATTTTTTTCTTATCTTGTTTTTCACCTTGAAGTGGGGAAATGATATATGTTCTCTCTATGTTACGTCCAACAACATGCGTACTTGATCCCATAACATAAGGCATCTGAGTTTGTTTCTTCTTGACACCCCTTTTCAATTTTTTATGTAAATTCATAACAATGGCTGGATTGGAAGAATTGAGAAAAAAACTTGCATCTTTTTTTGATGCTGAAGCCCCATTAAAGAAAGAGAAAGGAGAGGAGAGAGAAAGAATGAGAGGCAGTGAGATAGAGAAATGAGTAAAAAAGTTTTTTATATAATAAATCTCCACTATTGGATAAGATTGTAATCTAACGGTATTGAATAAGGTAGGCAAAATAAGAATAGGCAGAATAACCTATATATATATATATATATATATATATATATATATAGTGGCGGACCCAAATTTTTTTATTTATGTCTGCATAATTAATGGTTGGGGTTCGGGGGCAGCGCCCTCGAAAAAAAAGTTAAAGAAATTTTTAAATGCATTAAAAAATAAAAATTATAAACAAGAAGAGAAAAGAAAACTATTAACATATATAAAGCTTTGCTATTTCACGCATATTTAATTTTTTGTAAATGCTATTTTAAGCTAGAGTAAAGTACTTTTGGGTCCTAACAAATATTACAGGACCTAATTTAATCTCTTAGAAAAAAAGAGTTGACTCGTGGTCCCTTTAAAATTTAAAATAGACCTATGTTAGTCCTTTTGAGTGACTAACATGGGTCTTCTTTGAATTTTAGGGGAACCATGATTTCGGCTAGTTGTGTCTATTTTGAATTTCAGAGGAACCAAAAGTCAATTTTTTTTTCTTAAGGGATTAAAATAAACCCTGTGATTTTTGTTAAGGACCCAAAAGGTACTTCACTCTTCAAGTTATTTCAAATGAATTTTTGTGTGTGTGTATGCACTTGCATACATAGGCAACCATATAGGTCCGCCATATATATATATATATATATATATATATATATATATATATATATATATATTTTGTTATATAGAAGACAGTGGGTGATATTAATAATCACTAAGAGGTTTGAACCCGTGTATAGAATAGATGAAATAAATAATCACAAAACACAGTGCAATAAGAAACAGATGAAATAAATAATCACAAAACACAGTGCAATAAGGAAATTAGAACAGACTTACAGTATGTCAGATAATGGAGGAACGAATGATCAATTTAT